AAGGCTTATTTAGCTCACAGTGGAAGTTTTAGTCTATATATATATTTTTTTCTTTAATTGACTAGTATATATATCACATATGTATAATTTGATACAGGGTCTTACCAGCGCTGGGATTACAGGCGTGCACCACCATGCCCATTCTCAGTCTCAATCACCAGTTCATTGCACCCGGGATGGGGCCAGCCTGGCATGTGGTGCCAGGGATTGAACCCCTGTCCCTGTGCTTGCCTAAGTAGGCGCTTAATGTGCTGAGCTATCTCACCCACCCTAATTAAAGAATATTAATAGGAACAAAAAAAGAATTTATATTTTCTCCCACAATATTTAAAGTTATGCCACAATTTTACTGGTTTTATGTTTAAAACTTTCATTTTGTGTGTTTTAGTTGTATGTGCACACTTTGATATATCCATATATGTATTTTCAGGATTTCTATGTCCTCTTTTTTTCCAGGAGACCACCTGCTGTCCATGACCTGCATATAGGCGTCATCTGGAGATTTCCTTCTCTCCCCTCTTGGGATAAATCATACTGCCCCTTATATTTTCTGTATTTCACTTCCTGGTTTTACTCTTATAAAACCTTGTGCTCCTGTTGCTAAGGTCCATTTTCAAGTAATTTCCTCATGTAAGATGAATAGGAGGGAAAGACACATGCTTAGGGATAGGACTAAAAATCTTTTGAGGGCCAGGGAGATAGTGCAGTAGAATAAGCACTTGCCTGGCAAGTGCAAGGTCCTGAGTTCAATCCCCGGTGCTGAAAAAAAAAAAAAAAAAAAAAAGGAAAGAAAGAAATCTTTTTGCTGTTATCCCTTAATGTCATTGACAGTCTCCTGAGGTTTTGAATTCTACATTGAGGGCCAGGGATGTGTCTCAGTGGTACAACACCTCCCTGGCCAGCGCAAGGCCCTGAGTTTGATTTCTGGTACCAAAAAGAAAATAGAAAAAAAAAAAAAAAAAAAAAAAAACCTTCTTAAAAAAGAAAAAGAGGGTGGCCAGGGAGATGGCTCAGTGGAATAAGCGCTTCCCTGGCAAGTGCAAGGGCCTGAGTTCAATCCCTGGTTCTGCAAAAAAAAAAAAAAAGAAAGAAAGAAAGAAAGAAAGAAAGAAAGAAAGAAAAATAATTCTACATTGAAAGTTACTGTCTTGGTTACTTTTTTCTCATTTCTGAGAAAATATGAGATACCCAAAATTAAGGAAAGAAAGATTTATTTAGCTCCCAGTTAGTGGAGGTTTTAGTCCATACTCGACTGGCTCCAAGGCAGAGCGGCTCCTGGTAGAGGGCAGCCGTTCATGGCAGTGGAAAACAGCAAGAGCAAAAGGAGGGGCAGCGGCAGGAGTAGCTAGCCAGCCTTGCTCCCTTCCTATTATTGTGTTCAGGCTGTCCGTCCCAGGGCAGGTGTAGCACTCACACCCACAATCCCAGCACTGGATCGTGAATTAATGACCAACTCTAGAAGCCGCCTCAATGACTGTATGAGGCTCTGGGGGGACAACTAGGCACAAACCATCACAGTTACTTTCTGTCAGAATTTTGAAAGCACTGTTGCCATCTGCCAGCCACTGTTGGCCCAACCGAAGGTAAAAGGAACTAGCACCCTCCACTCTTCCACAATTGCAGCTCAGGCTTCTTTCTTCTTTGTAAGATTGTGTGTTGGTCACCTTTCCATCTCTGACAGAATACCCAGAGAAAACAACTTAAAGGATAAAAGCTCCATCCGCATGAACAGCCCCAGAGGCTTCCGTCCATGGTTAGCTGAGTCCGTTGCCCTAGTACTGGGATGAGGCAGAAAAAGCACGGTGTGCACCTGTGGTGGGGACAAACTGCTCACCTCACTTGTGTCGCCAGGGGGCAGAAAGAGGAAGGAAGGAAGAGCCAGGGAGAAAGGGAGTAGGGACCAGAGATAGTCCCCAAGGGCGCGCCCTAATCTACTCCGGTCATCGAGGTCCTACTCCTGCTTCCCTTACCTCCCAATATGCCATTAAATTCATATCCCATCAGTGGATTAATCCACTTGAAGTTAGAGCCCTTGTGAGCCTAGCACTGCCCCCAAACCCACTCCATTAACCCCATGAGTTTTGGGGGACATTTGAAGTCCAGACCAACGTTAAAAGCGTTTCTTTTTGTCCTGATGAGGTGAAGTGGGGCTTCATGTTTCTGTAAAGAGTTGCTTGTCTACCTCTCTCCCCCTCTGTCTCCCTCCATCCCTCTTTCCTTCCTTCCCTCCCTCCCTTCCTCCATCCCTCCCCCTCCCCCACTCATTAACTAATTAATTACCAATGCCTCCGCTGCAGGACCCACTTGCCTCTTGCAGTTCCAGAAGGCAGCAGCACAAGTTATGGTTCTGAACCAGGGTGTGCTCCCTGGCTCTGAGACCGTCATAGAGTGCCAAGGATTCTACTTGCACATACAATTTTTCTTTATGTTTCCCTTTTCTTTAGTTATCTAATTCACTTTTCACCTTGGAATAAGTACAAAAATGATGGAGAACAAAAATTACCCCAACTCAAAGGGTAATTTTTAACCTAGAACAGAGTATTCCAAAGTAAGTGGCATGGTACACGTAGGACCTGTGAGTCTCACAGTCTAATGCCCGGGAGAGAATCCCAGGGTACGCCTGGCTTAAGACTTCTTGCTAGCCACGTGGACTTTCTCCTCATGCACTAGTGCTGTTTGTCTCTTTCCACAGCAAAAATCTCAAGGAAGTCCAACAAAGAAAAGCAAACCAAAAAAAGTCGATCACCTCAAAGGCCAGAAGGTTATTGCAAGGTGTGATGAAAACGGCTTTTATTTTCCAGGTAGGTTTCTTCTCTCCCTTTTTGAGACCTCTTTATTATAATAATTTAGTGCTGGGGCCAGAGGTTTCAAACTGTGCTTTCTCTAGAATACTGACATTTTATGAATTAGCCTAAGGATACTGCTTCTCACACGAAAAAGCGGTAGGCTTTCTCCCCCTACTGAGGCAGAAAAAAAAAAAAAAAAGAAAGAAAGGAAAATGTATTTATCTTTCCTATGTTTTGTTTATTGTTGTTTTGTTTTGCTTTTCAGTTTAGGACCTTGAGCTTGCCAGGCAGGCATTTGTGCTGCTGAGCTACATCCCCAGATGTATTTATCTTTCATTTGCTTAGTAAACAAATTTTTATTATACACCTAATATGTTCTATCATATATTCTCCTGAAAGTGCCTGTCTACTATAGTGAGTAAACACATGAATTCTTGTCTTCGTAGACGTTATATCTTAGTAAGGGAAACAGCCAAGATAGACGATAAAAACACATAACATTTCAGGTCCAGTGCTGCTGAGGACAGCCGAGCCAAAAGGTGGCTGAGAGTATATTTGGTTGTGATCCAAATATGGTGGCTAGTGAAGAGCTCCTCAGAAGGGTGACATATGAATAGACTCAAAGAGGAGGAATGCACCATGAAAGTATTTGGGAGAACAGAGTTCTAAGTGGGAAGGCCCAAGGCTGGGCCTTGCATGGCATGTTGAAAGAGGAGCACAAAGCTGGGGCCACGGAACCAGAAGGCTTTGCCAAGGAATCCTGGGGGACATGACTCTGGAGGGTGCAGTTCCTCGGGGAGTAGAGACATGGAAGGAGCTTTGTGGAGAGTGGGAAAATTTTTGTGAAGAGCTGGGGGTGACATAAAATGTCTGGAAACATCACCTGGAACTTAGAGGTTGCAAAAATAATAAAGCCCCTCGGAGAGGTAAATATGAGGCCAGTATTTTACAGGCTACTGCGCAGCTTAGGCTGGGCTAGACTCAGCGTGTACTGTTGGTCCTACCTGAGTAATGCCACTCAGATGACATTCCATCAGAGGCGCAGCGACATCTTCTGCCCCCATGAATCAGCCTGGCTGCTCTGGAGCTGCTCTTTTCCATTTTATACAAAAGAAGCCCCCAAAGAGTTGTGTTGGGCATGCACACAGCACTCACTGGGGACTCCCTTCTGTCACTCGCACAGAAGCCTTCCGGGGCCCAGGAAGTGATCACTTGAGTCCAGGTCTTCACTGGAACACATCGGGCTGGTTGGCTGCTGCCAGCTCTGCCCAGACCACAGCCTGCAGGGATTTTAGGTGGACAATGCACAGCTGGGTCAGTGTGGCTCATCCAGGAGGGGAAACGACTACCTCAGACAAACTGGAAGTGACAAGCGGCAACCTGAGCTTATCTGCATGGTGCTGGGCAAGAAGAAGACACCTTTCAAAATGTTATTAGGGGGCTGGCCAAATAGCTCAGCAGATTAAAGTGCCTGCAAGCCAGCGCAGGGGCCGGGGGTTTGATCCCCGGGCCTGCCATGCCAGCCCCACCCCCCAAGGCAAGCTGAGACTGTGACTGAGACTGGGTGTGGTGTCACGTTCCTGTAATCCTAGCTCTTGGGAGGCTGTAAACAGGTGGATCACTACAAGTCCAATCTAGTAGCGAGACCCTGAACACCCTGTAGTCCCTTCCCTAAAATTGAAAAAAAAAAAAAAAGTGTTATTAGGGTTGGCCAGATAGCTCAGCTGATTAAAGCGCATGCTGAGGCAGACGCAGGGACCGGAGTGTGATCGCCAGCATGCTGTGCTGGCCCCGCCCCCGGAGTGCACTGAAACAGTGATTGAGACTGGGCAGGGTGGCACATACCTGTAATCCCAGCATATGGGAAGCTGAGAGCAGGAGGATCACTCCAAGTCCAATCTGTGTAGTGAGACCCTGTAGCCCCTGTACTAAATCCATTAAAAAAAATGTTATAAGGTCATCATTTGTGGGAACTGGGTCCTCCTTGCTGTTGCTCAGTGACAAGAAGCATTTTAGTTCAGGAAATTCAGGGTGATTTCTGTCCTCTACCAGGCGAACAGATTATGATGAGAGAGTGTAAGGGGAGGCTGAATACTCACTCACTCCTCAGGGGAACACGTAGGGTCAGAAACCCCAAAGCTTCCACTCACCTGAATTCTGCCTCTGTCCTCTAGGAGAGGACTGGAGTCACTGTTTTTCTCTGCCTCCATTTCCTTGTCTTTCTAAGGGGTGTTTACAGCAATGAAAGCTGTTGTAGCCAGGGTTGGCAAGGGAATAGATTTAATATAAGACATAATTCATAGGATGATTTTATAATATTCACTCAAAAACTCAAATGCAGAAGGGTGCAAGAGGTCTGTCCATGCACTAAGGACCAAAGGATCCAGCTGAGGGCCTGGATCCCACGGCCGTGTCCTGCAGGAGTCCAGCTGGAGACCTAGAGCCCACAACGTCTCATGCAAGTCTGGACCAAGGATCTGCGCTGCAAAGGCCCAAAGGTCAGTGGCAGAAGCTCGAAAGTGTGCACCAGCAGGATGAAGGAGCTTGCCAGCAGGCTGAGGGAGCTGCACTGGGGCCAGGAAGCGACGCTCAAGGTAAGGACCAGAGCTGCCCCGAAGAGGGCCCCAGCCATGCTCAGCCATGGCGAGGACCTGAGCTCCTCTGCTGATGAAAACAGCTGAGCTCGTATCAGGAAAACAGCGCGAAGGCCCCTCCAGGAGCATCAACAGCGCACCGTCTGCCTCCGGTTCTCCTTTCTGCAGCTGGCAGCAGTCCTCAGGAGGGGCATCCACACCCGGCACTAGGCACTACACTGACTCTGTTCAACTCAGTAAAGCTGACCGCTAGTTAGTCCACCACAAAAAACAGCTGAAGATTCCTTTGCAGATCAAACGTGATGCTGCGAGCACGTCCTGGGTCCCTGAGGTGCTATCGTCCCATAAGAACTCCCAAGAGACACCACCAGTGGTCTCCCGGGAGCTGGGGGAGCTGCTCTTAACACTCACAGCCACTCAGAACCCTCATCTGCAAGTGAGAGGTGGACAACACCAGAAAAGCTGTGAGCCCAAAAGCCATGAAGAGCAGAACACAGGGCACTGGGGCAGCAGAGGCAGGCAGGTAGAGAGGGCACTGCGGCCAGAGGTGCTCTGAGGAGGTGGCACTTAAGTGGGGCTGTGACCAAAGGAAGGCCTTGGAGAGGTTTCAGAACTTCCAGTCTCCAGCCTGAGCTCCTTAGGTTTGGACCAGGTCTTCGCCAGCTTACTGTCTGAAGCCCAGGCCCTGAAAGAGTTCCCAGAGGGATTTCAGAGCCTCCAGAACAGCCCCACCTCTCTGGCACTAAGAGCGGAAAGTACAGGGCCAGGGGCCCCTGAAGTTGGAGCTCTGTTGAAGCACAGGGCACGAGGACTGGGCAGATGGAGGCCACGCTGCACTGAGCCCTTCAGCCCCAGAGCACAGCTAGCAGGGAGCCCAGGTCAGCCTGCTCTGGGGATGGATGCAGCCCCGGAAACCACACCGCATGGACCAAGAGGGCGGGGAGGAGAGGACAGCACCAAAGAGCCAAAAGGAAGTCGCTCAAATGAGCAGAAGGCCCAGGTTCGCTGATCCACAGCAGAGGTGGCAGCCTTTTCTGTGAAACAAAGAGTGACTTAGGCTTTGTGGTCTCTGTGACACCTTCTCACCGTGGCAAACAGTGAAGAACCACAGCGCAGGCTTAATGCTGCATACCGCCAAGTCCGCAGCCACGCTTTGGGGAGGATCACATGGGCCTGCACTACATCTCAGCACCCCAGGTCCTTACCTGTGAGCCAGGGAGGCTGTGTAGGTCAGGCAGGGTGTGGGGTGTCAGGGTCCCCTTCATTCTTGGGTGAGAGCAGCATATATATATATATGTTTTTTTGAGAGAGAGTCTTACTTTGTAGTTCAAGCTGGTCCTGAGCTATCTATTTAGCCCAGGCTGACCTTGAACTCCCATCTATCCTCCTACCTCAGCTTCCCGAGTGCTGGGATTACATGTGTGCACCACTGCACCTGGACCTGTAATTATTTTCAGAATAAAAACTTGCTAAAAATAAGTAGAGTTTGTTTTACTAAAAGTATAAATAAAATCCATTTATGATAGAATATAAAGATTTTTTTAAAACTGAGTTAGACATTTTAATTCAGTAAGACAATATATCATGGAAATATGGCTTGCGTGTGTACGCTCAAAAAAAAAAAAATACAGGCCTGCTGGTGCACATCTGTAATCCCAGAAGCTGGGGAAGCAGAGGCCGCAGGATGACACACTCAAGCCCGACCTTGACAACTTAGCAAGACCCTATCGCAAAGTAGAAAATAAAAACAAAAGGCTGGAAATGTAGTTTAGCATGAAGATTCTGAGTTCAGTCCCCAGCACTAACCACACACACACACACAAACCCCTCTAAGTATATCTAAAAGACAAACTTCTTTATTCCTTTTTTGGTTGTAGAGTTTAGGAAAACCATAATGTATGTTCAACCTTTGGATTTATTTGGGTGCATGGAGACTCGTATCGCTTCTCTTCTTTCACAGTTTAACAATGCCCACATTCTATCTCTGTAAAGGAAATGAGCTAAAATAAATGAAGAAATCCAATGGTAAGGGTGTTCTGGAAAAGGGGTTCAGGGTCTCACCACAGTGCCCCACTGGGCAGACATTGGGGGTGCTGAAACAAGCTCTCCTTTTCCTGGCATTTGGGGGTTCAAACCAGTACAGTGTCTTTGTCCCTTTGCACTGCTCAAACCCAAGCAGCATCAGACAGTCCCCCAAGCAACCCCATTTCCTAGGGGCCTCCAAGGGGCAGTGACTTCAAGGGACAACGCCATGACTCACTGCAGACCACAGATGGTGCCAACCTAAGGGACTGGGTGTTGCCGTCTTTATAGTTTGTTGTCTCTGATTCTTCCAGGGGTTGTGAAGCATTGTTTGAGCCGCACCCATGCACTGGTGAGCTTCAGGTATGGGGACACCAAGGTTGTGCCCACCTGCTTCATCACGCCTGTGGGGGGCGCCATGCCCTGTCCACTGCTGCAGGTACCTGTTCCACAATCTGCTATGGGCTCCTTGGTACCATCCATGGGTTTGGAGTAACAGAATGGCAGGGCCATGGTGAGGGCCTTTGCTAAACTCCTACAGGAAGCTTGTGTTGGGGCAAAAACTGCAGGGACCCATCGTGTGGTGTGACTGTGATCTGCCAACCCCTCTTACCCACAACCCTCACAACTGTAGAGTGGCTGACATTGCATCTTGTGGCTCTTGTCACTCTACAAGACAGGAGACAGTGGGAGGAGAAAGTTGCTATGGCTCCTGGTGCTCTTGAAGCTTTAAGCATAAAGAACACATTCCACTGTACAAATGACAAGGACAGCGATAGCACTCTCCTTGACGTGGTCGTTTTCAAGCTGCCTGGGAGGCTGCAGTGCACTTCAGCCCAAACATGCACCTCACCGCCGAGTCACGGCTCCTGAGTTCCCTAAAGCTGTAGTGATTCTGGGAGGAGAGAGATGGCCTTGCAGAATCTGGAAGAGAGGCACAAAGGCAGGGTCACCGGGTAGCCCTGCTGGTCTGTCCTTGCTTTCCTGATCAGATCCGCAGCACACCTCTGTGCACCTTTCCCAGGCAGCTGGCACATGCCTGCACTCTTTATGGGCCCCTTTGCAAGCTCCTCTTCCTGCTCCAAGTTACCTCTTGGTACCTTTGGCCCGCACGTGCCATTTAAAGCAAGATGAACGAAGCCTTTCCTTTGTTGGGGTGATGGCCCTTGTGATACAAGAAGATGCCATTCAAATCTATGCCAAACTCCACTCCATAGAGCAGTTCCTCCAGCTGGTCTTTGTAGGGCTGGTTTCAAGACCCTCGCCATCTACCAGCTTTTCCTGGAGCCTTATCAGTTACCAAAGCCCTACCAAAATGGGGTTTCCCCAAGCTCACCACAAAGTTCCAAGTGAATTCCAGGGAGTGTTGGAACTCTTCCTTAACTGAAAAAAGTCCCTATTTGAATTTTAGCATGAGTGCTTGCCTGGGGTTGCTCTGAGGCAAGCTTTTAGAAACATTGTCTTTGAGGCCTATAAAGTGACCTGTCTACTGTGAAATGTATTCCCCTCTACAGGTCGGAGACTATGTGTTTGCCAAAATTGGGACACCTGAAGGATTTGACTTCTATGTCCCTGCCATTGTCATAGCACTTCCAAATCCAAGTGTGGGCTCAGAAAAATTCTACACAGTCCTGAAGTGTAACAACCGGCGAGTAAGTAGACTTCATTTAGAAAGGACTAGGCAGAAGAGGGTGGCTGTGGCCGGGCAGTTCCTCTCTTTCCTGGACCCCCAGATGTTCCAAGAATGATTCCCCCAGCCGTGTCTACTTCCTCCCTGCCCATCCGCCACCTGGATCAGATTCAGTGTTCCCATTTCTCCTGTGTCAGGCAGTCTTTTGTGATCATGGCCAAATTGTGCTTTGCACTGGACAGCTGGGCAGGCTCACTCCAGGTCCCTGGGACACCACTCTCTTTCATGCCTGTCCTCGCTCTCCTGCCCCAGGGTCCTGTGTAACCCCTGCAGATATGGACATCTCCTGGGTACCCCCAGCCCCAGCCCTCTCTACCACCTCCTAACCTGTCTCCTGGGATGAGCTCATCCTCACACACCTCTCCTGTGCCAGGCAAGGCAGAGCTGAGCCCCAGCCCTACATTTCTAGCTGGGTCCCCCTCAGCAGCTCCCTCCTGCTGACCCACGGGCATCTCAAAGGCAGAGTCCGCCTTCTCCCCAAGAGTCTTTCTTGTACTCTACTTTCTCCATCAGGGGTGCTACCATCTGGTTCCCCATTCCATCCCTGTTTTAGGAATCACCCTCAGGGGTGGCAGGGATTGGTGACAACAAGGGACACAGGAGTGGAGCCATCTGGAAAGAGCCCAGCTGTACAGTATAAAAGACCTGCATTTTGGATCCACTCTCTATTGGTTGTCTGACCTGGGCATTTTTTCTCATCTCTGTCTTCCGGAGTGGTTGTAAGGCTTAAAGAAAACATAGGTAGAGGATCTGTGTGGCTTATGCTCAGGGATTAGGTGTGACAGGAGCAGTAATGATGGCGCTGCCACAGTTGGTAGCACCACTCGAGCTCGTTCCTTAGGGCTCCTCACAGCCAGTGAGTGAGGGTGATGTGGTTCAGTTTATCACATCTGGTTGATTCACTTTCTAGACAGACATTTGTTAAGCATCTGTGTTTTCTATTGAGTTGTTTATCTTTTCATTGATTTACCGAGATTCTCTGTGCCTTCCGAATAGTAATTCTCGGTGATCCATGCAGCATGCTGTGGGGGGGGCTTGTAGTGCCCCGTGTTCGTGTAAGGAAATCATCTTCCATCAAGCCAGGGAAGGCTCTTGCAGGCCACAGAGCAGGAAGAAAGGATGGAGCAGGAGGACATGCCCTGGTGTTCAGCCCTGCGCTGGCACTATCTATAAGCCAGGGACCTCTGAGGAGATGTCCCTGGGCACGCCCCAGGTGCACAGAGTGATGAGGCAGTTGGCCCAGGATGCCCGAGGAAAAGCCCAGGGGGAGTTGGCCCACAGGGGTCCCTAGAGGCCAGAGCGGCATGGACGGGGGGGGGGGAAGGACACTGGAGAGAGTTCTGATAAGGGCTCGACTTGGCAACTGACCTAGAATTTGAAGAAATAACAGATAAGCTCAATAGTGACTTTCACGCAACAAATAATTATCCAGCAAGAGTGAATCTAGCCTGCTCTTTAGTGTCACCCTGAATAAGACAGTGACCAGTACCAGTAACCAGTATGATGGTTAGAGCAACAGCAAGATGATTTCTGAATTGTGGACTGCTTTATTTAAATTGAGTAAGCTGTTTTGGTTTTTTTTTTTACAGGAATTTTGCCCTCGGAGCGCACTTATAAAGATCAGCCAAAACAAATATGCTCTGTCTTGCTCCCATATAAAGTCACCCCCAATTAAGGAGGAGCCCAAAGTGTAAGTGCACCCGACTTTCACCCCTGGAATGCTAACATCTCTTTGAACCTTTAGCTCACTTCTGAGTTGCCATCCGAGATCTCTTAACGATTAGGACAGCTTCCTACTGGCCAACATCCTACTGTAAACGTCATGGGGACCATTTTCCCTCCGATGTCACACCATTTGCCCGCTGTGTGTCCTCCATCTGGTCCTCATCTCAGTCAGTGTTATTTGCCTGGCCCTCCAGAAAGCTCTCAGTGCTGTAGTGAGTGTGAAGCAGTCGCTTCCCTTTACCCCCGAGGGTTCCAGGCCTCTGAAGGAAGCTGCTGCGGCGCGTGGAGCACTTACCCACCTGCCGCTTCCACGCTGAAAGCCGGAAGTGAGGTGCCGGCCATGCTGAGTGTGTGTATGTTGGGGTGGGGTGTGTGCAGTGGTTTCTGGGCCCTTGGTGGAGAGAATAAATTGTCATCTGAGAGCCCGGGAGATAGCTCAGCAGCATAAGTAGTTGCCTGTCAAGTGCAAGGTTCTAAGTTCGATCCCCAGTACTGCAAAAAAAGAAAGAAAGAAAGAAAGAAAGAAAGAAAGAAAGAAAGAAAGAAAGAAAGAAAGAGAAAGAGAAAGCAAGCAAGCAAGCAAGCAGTAGGATTGCTGAGATTGCTAACGATGGACTCACTCAAAGTAAAGAGGAAAAAGTGAAAGGCTGAGAGCAGGCCAAGCCCAAATCCAAGGGCCAGAAAGGGGAGCAAGGCTGGAGCTGGAGTCCTAACCCTAGAAAGACAAATGCAGAGCTTGAGCAAGGGCTGCGTGTAGGGTTGATAGGTTGTCTGCAAGGTCCAGCCTTCTGGCTTCCTCACAGAGACTTTCAGACGGCCTCCCTCCATCTCTTAGCCCGCCTTTGGGCTTGTGGAACTCTTGGTCTTTCTCTATGATGTCAGAGCCCTGGTGCTTCTCTCTGTCCAAGGCTTAGCTGGCCATGAGGTCTGGTCAGGAGGCCCACCCTGTCCCCTCAGGTCCCCACTCCTCTGTGTTCTCTGGGCTCTTCAATTGGTTCTCCATAGCGCCTCTCCAGAGAAGCCTTTACCCAAGAAAAACCTGGGTTCCTCTCCCCACTGCAAAGGCAGCAGAAACACTGAAAGGATAGCCTGAATTATTTTTTATGTATTTGGTACAGGGTCTTAGTATGCAGCTGGGACTCACAGTGATCCCCCTGTCTCAGCCTCCCCAGCACTGGGATTACAGACCTGCACCACCACACCTGGGCTTAGTGGCCGGCTCAGTGCACCTGGGGGCAGGGCCTGTATGGCATGTGGTGCCGGGGATCAAACCCCCATTCTTGCACTTGCCCAAACAGGCATTTAGTCCACTGAGCTATCTCACCAGGCCTGACAGCCCGAATTTGGAGGCAGATTTATTTACATCAATGGGCACAGATAGGGATCATTCCCAGAATCTCAGCCCCCATCTCTGAGGGTTGAGAGCTTTTATATGATGCACAAGTAGGAGGCACGAAGGTGAGACCAAGCAGCCGGGCAGCTCTGATTGGCTAGCAGGGTGCGGTCATTGATTACAAGGGTAGATTAATGATTGTCAGTCCATGATGCTCAGCACAATGGTACAATCAGGCATCCTGCCTGTTCAGTTATGCTCTCATGGTTACAGGAGTTGAGAAAGTAATTACAAAGCTATGCAACAGTGACAGAGCTGGGCAGTTTCAAAAGAACGAAGTTTTGAAAAGAAGTTTCTCCTGTAGTTTCTCCCATCACGCACATGCACACACACTCCCAAGTGCAGAAGCTGCCCTGGCTCCGCAGCGCCCAGTGCCTTCCTCCTCTCCTCCACCTGTCCGTGTACAGTTGGCCTCCTGTCCCTGTACTACTTGCCTCCTTTCAGTCCCTGAGCATCAGGCATCAGCTGCAACCCCTCTGCAAGAAGGATTTCCACAGAACCTGCCCGGCCCCTCTCCCACACCACAGCCAATGAGCCCTGCGCAGCCTGACCTGCTTGCTGCTCAGTTTTTAGTGGACAGTCAACATCTCCTTCCTCCCCAGCTGCTCCTCTTGAGATTTGTCATGGCTGCCTCTGTGTTTCTCCCTGCCCAATTTCACCCACACCATTGCTTCTATGACTTTTTAGGCTAAGGACCCCGTATCTCCTCCTCCAACCCAAATGGCTCTCTTGGGCTCTTGCCACAGGAGTACAAGCCCCAAGAGTGGGACCTGTAGTGAGTCTTTCTGGAACCATCCCAGATGGTTGTAATGGTGGCTCCTTCTTCAGGTAGCAATGGTGGCACCTACAGTGAAAAAGGCCCTGGAAAACAAGACTTAGTTCATATCTGGCCTCATTGTCACTTGGCTTTGTGCCTCTGAGATGGTGCCTTATCATCTCTGAGCTTCTCCTTGTCCTAGGATGAGGGTTAGGAATGGCCCCTGGGTGGTCAGCACATGGGGACAACTGCATGATCTCCAACTGCTCAGTGGATACTTCTGCCTGAGGGCACAGAATCTTGATTCAGCGCAGCTAAACCAAAGCCATGGCTCTCCACATACCTGCTTCTATTCCAACTGTTCTTGCCTCGGTTGATCTTTCTACCCAGCAGTTGGCTTCTGGTTGTCTCTGGCTTCTTCATGTTCCTCACTCACCACACATCTATCTGTTCCAAGCTGTAGTGCTCCCAACTCACAGGTCCTTCTCAGCTCTGCTGTCGGTTAAGAGCTTCTGTTTCCTCCAGCCTCATCCTGCCTTCACTCAGGCCTTCTCCGGGGGCCTGAATAGACAAATTCTCCTCCTGTGCAAACCTTTAGAGTCCCGCATGCACCCCTTCCTACCTTCATGCAGCCTCTTGTTGACCTGACCCAGCCCAACCAGGGCACACGGACCACACCAAACTGTTTGTCCTTGTTTCCCCATACTGTGGTCTTTGCAAGTCTCTGTGCCTTTGCCTAAACTACAGTATTCCCTCCCCAGAATGCTATCTGCCCTTGGCCACCTGGAGAATTCCAGGATCAAGCTTGAGCCCACAACCACCATCCATGCTCTGCGCCTAACCCTCTCGCGTAGTAAGATGGCCATACTGAATCGTGTAGAGGTTTTCATGAAGGGAAATATCCCTTTTGTTGGACTATTTCTTAGGCCATTCTCTAATTGCTATTTCAAAATGCCTAAGACAAAATATTTACAAAGAAAAGAGTTACTTAACTCACAGTTTTGAAGGCTGTAAGTCCAAGATCTGGCTGCCCCATGCATTCAGCCTTTGATGAGGACCCTCTTGGTTATGTGACAAGATGGCAGAGGTGATCTAGGAAGAGACCACGTGGGCAGACAGGAAGCCAGAGGCAGGGGAAGGGGCCATCATGCTGTTGTCTAGCTCCTGATTCTCACCTACTCCACGAGACCAGCATGAATCTCTTTCAAGGGGAATGTCTTGGTTACTTTTCTCTCATTTCTGGGACAAAGTACCCAACACCCAAAATGAAGAAGGGAAAGATTTATTTAGCTCACAGTTTATGTAGATTTCAGTCCATACTCAGCTGGCTCCAAGGCAGAGTGGCACACAGCAGAGGGCAGCAGTTCTTGGCAGTGGAAAACATCAGAGTAGCAAGAGCAAATGGGAGGAGCAGCGGCAACAATGGCTGCAGAGAGCAAGTCTGTCTCCCTTATGTTTCATTCAGGCTATCTCCCCAGGCCAAGTGTAGCACTCACACCCATAATCCCAGTGGATCATGAGTTAATCATAAACTCCAGAATTCCACCCCATGACTGCATGAGGCTTTGGGGGGGGGGTACAACTGAGCACAAACCATAAGAAGGACCAAGCCCCCGAGAACCCCGTCACCTCCCCAGGCACCATCATATGAAGGTCTGCCTTTCAGTGAGGCTGTACTGAGGCCCATGATCTGGCACATGAACCTCTGGGGCACAAATAACATCCATATCACGGCAGACCTGGCCAGGTGGAGGCCAGTCAGGCTCTGCCCCTGAGCCCCAAGTACCAGGCCCAAGCCCCAGCATAGCTTCAGCGACTACTGAAGGAACAAATTGCTTGTGACTGCCTTATGAATGCCGGTCCTTGAAGGATAGAGTTCCACGGAGGAGCCTCCCTTACTGAGTAGTTACTGAGAACGTACACTGCAGCCCTTCATTCTCTGTCTAGATGAATGTATGTATTCCATTTAAAATCACAGCCCATAGATAGGGTGCAGTGGTGCTCACCTATAATCCTAACACTTAGGAGGCTAAAAACAGGAGGGTCACTCTGAGTCCAATCTGTGTAGTGAGACTCTATAGACCCTGTACTAAATACATAAAAAAAAAAAAAAATAAGTAAATCATAGCCCACTTTTGGTTGGTGTCAAAATCCTACTCAAAAGATAGGAGTTAAATTATAGAACGCTATAGAGGACTAGGAATTATCTATTTCCTCTGGACTCAACCTTATCCATCACTATTTTCTAGTTAAAATCCTGTTCTCTTTATGTTGAGAAGTCTTTGTTTCCCTCAATCCCCAGGCCTTATTTCAAGGTCTTAGTTGCTAATTAACTCCTCTCACTTTGAGGGCTTCACACAGTGGATGTGTTCATTGAGTCCCAGGCCCCCACTGTAGCTTCCACAGTCCGGTATGCTAGCTGCCTCTCTGGGTACAAGAGGCTGCATCTAATTCTCCTAAGCAGAGGTCAACCTGCTAAGTTTAGCGCTAAATCTGTCTCTGTTTCTACGACTGGGGATTGCCAAGCTGAGTGCAGAAATGATGACAAGAGGGCTCGTGTTGCCTCCACACTGACTCTCCCTTCTGCAGGTCTTTCTTTAAGAAGCTCTTTCTCACTCGCAAGAGCACCAGTCTTCAGGCAGTTCCTTAATCAGTGTGCAGTCCGTTTTGTCAAAAGGGACTGTTAAAAAATCCGAGTGCTTTCCAGATGGGCTGCTAAAGAGGTGTACCCTAAGTTACATGTCCAACAGGATACCATTTTACTAAATTTACTGCTCAAATATTGAGTCCATTACAGCCATCGTCTTAGGCACGG